AAATATTTAACGCACAGTGTGATATATATATAGTTTAATAATAAATTGATTTTACCTGAACTTCTATAGTTTATTGTTTAAATTTTAACATTTTTAATCAGTAAAGTAAACTTTGATGATTCAGTTATAAGTATATAAAATTTATTCGAGCTTTTTGCTTCTCCTTTCAGTTATAATCAAAAGTAATTTCCTTTTTCCTGTGGTATACATCTAAGAAAAATCTATTAAAGTTATATTAGCAGCCGCAAACATGATATCTAAAGTATAATCTTTCTTTGCTTTATTTTTTTAGAATAAAATTTATCTTTCTTTCTACTCAACTTTTACGGAAGTGTTTTCACAAAATTAGTAATAAATATCGTAATCTCTTCTTCTATGTAACTCTTTTCTGGCAATTTTTTAGTTTTTAATATCTCTATTTCGAAATTATTAAAAAAAGTAGAAAACTTTAACATCTTGCAGCTATATCTCTAAAGTAAATGTTCCTTAAAAAAGATTTTAAGGCTTTAGTCGATAAAGTAAAGAAATTTCTTTAGTTGAATTCGATGAATATATTTCTTTATTTCAAATTAGATTTACTACTTTTAAAATAAGTCATAAAAAAATTAAAGTTCATATTGTATATTAAAAAAATTGTTAAAGCTCATAAATTCAAAAATTATAAACTTTTGATTGAAATTTTGGTGGTTTGATTAAAATTATGGGATCAACTTAAAATTCTACTATATAATTTAAAATTTTTTTTTTATCATCAATAGTAGTTTTCCACAAAAAACCTAATTTGATAAGTAAGTCTTCGCATTATATGATATTGCAATTTTAAAAAAAGAAAATGAGGGTTATTTTAAAATGAAAATGTCTCTAGAAACGTATATCAGATCGAAAATTTGAAGGGAGAAAAATATAAATACCGACACAATTAATAATGGCCCCACTGATTGACCCCCACTCTTTAATTTGGAGACAATTCGTACAGGGAGTATAAACGAATTTAAGCACGCCTAATGAAGCTACTTATTTCCAAGCATTTGCGTACATCATCTAATGACCGACAGAACAGGGGTTCGAATCCCAGCGTTAATACCAACATATTTCCTCCGTTCTCTTCAGCACTTAAAGGGTGTCCTGTACTCTCCAATGCCTAATACTTAACGAAAGCGTAGGTCTAATGTTCAGTTAAATTCATTTTTACGGTTTCAAAACCTTGTTAGCTGTAAATGGTTAAAAACCGAGTATTTTTGTATTCATGGTTTTATAACCACACTAGTTGTAAACTGTTTCAAAACCGTAAACCGTAAAGGTAAAAAAAGTTCTTTACGTAAGCCTTATGGTTAGTTGGATGAACTGACTGATGCCTATTATTTTACCATAATTTTAGAATGAAAATTGTGTTCAGTAAATAGTCAAATATCTTGTTCATACATCAGTTGCTTCACGCAACAAACTGTTAAATTTTAAACTACGAAATATAAATTATAATATATATAAAACTCTATAAAGGAACAAAAGATAAAACTATTTGTTTTGGATGTAATAAATCTTAGCAAATAATTATTTATAAAGTACTTATATAGCATTTTTCTCATTTAAAACACCTTCAGGAAATTTCTTTGAATATCATCATAAATGTATCAAATTTTAAAGAGTTTATAAATGTTTACAAATCTTTATTCTATTTATGTTATGTTATTTGTCAAAGTGGAACTCCTGGCCACTGTCAATGTCAACAATTAAAAATTACTAGACTGATAAATTAGATATAACCAGACGAAATAAAATAAAAAATCTAGTCTGATTTTTGTTTATATTCGTAATACCTCATTTGCGCGTCCTACAAGCAATATGTCTCATACCCTAATGTTTTTTTCTATTTATGATAAGTGAATAAAAATTTGAGTGATAAGAAAAATATTTTCAAAATAATTTTATAGACAATTTAAATGCATACATTAATAAAATAATCATACTGCTAAGTTTGATTGTTTCTCTAATGCATGATGCTTATCTTACGTTTGAACCAAATATATTCATGAGGTTATATTATGGAATTTTTCTTTTTAAATTTCGAATATTTTTTTTAGGTTTTTTTTTGTCTTTAGAGAGCAGTAGCCACATATTTGTACTTCGTATTTTTGAAAATTATGATTTCGCTTGAAACATCTTCACTCATGTTGCATGCAGTGCTTAATTTTCAATTATTGCTCGATTTAGTTTTTCATTAGGTTTAAAACTATATCCTTTAAACTCAGACACCTACTTCTAAGACTTAGAGGGTAGACCAGAAGTTGAAAACAGGATGATACCATTACTGTTTTTTAGTTTCATTAGTCGTACATAAGTTTTACTTGCAATTAAATAATTTGCGAATAGTATGATTTTAAAAAATTTAAAACTTTAAAATTTGGTGAGTGAAAATATACACCGAAGAGCCATTACATTATGACCACCCTGCTAATAACATGTAGGATCACTTTTAGCCCTCAAAACTGCTAACACCCGCCGTGGCATTGATTCCACAGGGTGCTGATAGGCAGACTGAGGTATCTGGTACCAAGCCCTCAAAAACTGGTCCTGCAATTCTCTCACATAGCGTTGCAGCACGAATTTGGTTTTCCAAGTAGTATCACAAATGCTCTATTGGGTTAAGGTCTGGTGAATTTGGGGACCAAGACATCACTTGAAAGTCGCTGAATATTCCTCGAACCAATCCATGACGATTTGACCTTTATGACATGGTGCATTATCTTGTTGGTAAACACCATCCCCCGCAGGAAAAACTGTTGCCATGAATGGGTGAACCTAGTCTGCAACTATGTTCAAGTAGCTTACAGACGTCAGGGATTGTTCTATGAGGATTATGGGTCCTAATGTGCCCCATGAAAACATTGTT